CGACGAAAATCATTTGAATAATTCGGAATGGTACCAAATGGGTTTGAGTGACAGCGATCTGACATCGTATGTCCAAGACACTGTACATATTATCACAAAGTTAAGAACAAAGTTTTTAAAATCAGACTCAATATTACCTCTAGGGAATTATGTTGCTACAGTTGCTCACCTTGAAATATTAGTAAAAAATTACACCAAAGATCAACATATGCTAACAATAACGGATTTGAAAGCAGAAGACAAAATGAACTATGCAGCGGCAGAAAAAGCGTGTAGCCCGGAAGTAAGAAAAATGATAGCCGACAACATTGACAATAGTGCAGGAACAACAGCTTATTTGAAACTAATGTATCTTATATCGGCAGCATTCCTGGACAAAACGTTATCTATTGTAGAAAAGATATATAACATTTGCTACTGAATATTTTTCCTACGAATATGGAAAAAATGGATTAAGGAACAAAGACAGTATACAGTAAAACATAAGTTTTATCTTCCAATTGCTACACATGCGTTGAACTCAATGGACACGCATTAATAAAAATAATTAAAATTTTTCAAAAAGTAATCTTACTGATGATATGTTCTTGCCTTGGAAGTTTAGCTCTCAAACTTGTGAGAGTATGTTTAGAAGCCTTAGATCAATGACCTCAACTTTTAGCACAATTGTTAATTTTAATATAAGAGATATGTTGCATCGAAGTGACAGACTGCAAACTATAAACAACATTAAAAACGATTTGGATAAAAAATTCGTTTTTCCTAGAGAAATCAGGAAAAAAAGTTCAATCATGAAGAGAGATTTTGTGAAAAATGATGACTTAGGAAACATTTCAGATAAAGATATACAAAGCACCGTAGAATCAGCTTTACGGGATTGTCTGCGTGACACTGAAGATTTAGGAATGAAAGTGATAGATTTCAACTACGTATTTTTGCCTCCGTGTAAAGACAATGAATGCAATGACGAAGTTGAAGATGAAATGTTTAGTGAAGAACAGTGCGATTACATTGAAAATTACAACAATTCTCAAATAGCCATGAAACGTAACTGTTTTCAAAGTTTGGAAAACGATCCAGTTGACCAAGATGAAGATTTACTGAATGATCTTTGCACAATTTCGTACGAATCTAAGAAATTTGACAGAGACATACACCTTAGAAGTTTTGATAGTGACGATATTTTTGTTGAGAAAAGTGATCTAGTCAGAATACGCTTAGATAATACAACAAAAGTTGTAAACAAGTCTTCACTTTGCTGGCTGTTAGACAATGAAAAGGATCGTGTCAGTGTGGATCGTCTCAAAAGATTTATTCAAAATAAGAAATGTAATAGTATTAGAGTTAACTCAGAAACAGATACCTGCCTTCAACATAAAGATGCATCTCAAATTCAAAAACCAGTCCAAATTGGAAAACAAAAAAGACGCTATAATATATCAAGTGACTCATCTGATTTAGACAACCCAAGTAGTATCGAATATGATGATAGCACGGACACCGAAAGTTTGAATTCTTCCAATTATTCTGATGATTTGAATCCTCGTTTGAATCTCAAGGCTGAAAATAGTAAGACTGATCGTTCTAAACTAGACTTAAATATAGACGATTATATTATAGTACAATTAACAACTCAAAAACAAAACAAAAAATGTTACATTGGTAAAGTGTTATTACTTAACCCTATTTTTTGTGATTTTTTGAAAAGGAATCCAAAAATTCCGGATGCTTTTATGTTTCCGGACATTAAAGATCAGGGGGAGATCCAAGAAAATGAATATATAATGAAACTACCTACACCTCAGGTACTCAGAAGGGGCAGTTTAGTTTTTGAAAAAATATTTGATTTAATTCTAGTTTTTTTTTAAGTGATGTGATTAAAATTTGTGATAATGTAACCTCAACCTGGGTCGAGATTTGTACAAGTATATATCGTAGAGAATACTAAAGTAAGAAACTGTGCAAAATTCTAGGTGCCCATGAACACTTTTAAAAGAGAAGATTACCTCTGAAAATTTATCAAGTGGGATTATCCATTCTTTTATTGTGCAAAAAAAAAATTGTTACGTGTTAAATTTTGCATTTCAAAAGTTTTTTTCTAATATACTTCATTTGAAAGTTGTGAACAAAAAATTAAAAGTGTTATCATCTGTATTTATGGGTAGCTAGAGTTTAGCACAGTTTTTTACTTCAACATTATCAACAATATATACATAAATCTCGACCTAGGTTATAGGGTAAGTATTTTTTAAGAAGTTGTTTTATTTTGTGATATTTTGTTATGATCCAACAGAAATGCTTTACTTTTATGTTTAGAGTTACCGTTTTTTTAACATTTAATAAAATAAATGAAACTACTTCTTTTTTCTGTTTATGCTACTATGATAAATGAATAAACCCAATTTTTAAAAAGTAATGATAATGACTTAAGTTATTATTATAAGTTTGATTTAATAGGTCAAACTTTAACATGATCTTGTATGCACAACACAGAGATGAACCTAATAGAATGATGTTGGACTACATATTTGGTATTCATTAATTACATCTGTGAACGTATGAGGCAGTCGTTGTTGCCCTATAAGTCACTGATAAGTAAAAACTGCTGACGTAACTAAAAATATCCTTGGCCTTATGTACTTTTAATTTCGTAAAGTCAAAAGCAAAATTTCATAATATAATTTATTAAAAAATTAATAATAATATACCTATAATATAATTTATTAAATCTTTGAGTGATTTAAACGAACTAATTTGTACACACCAGACATTTTTAATTTCAAAATTAAAATAGACCATAAGGTTTTCTGACTGAATGTGCAAAAAATCTAGAATATTGCATATGTCCACTTGTAGAACAAACATTTGACCCAAGAAAGTGTAAAATTCGAACGTATACTTACTCTATTGATTTAGACATCTAAAACCTCGATTCTAGAGTAGCGTTCTTTTTGTAAGTAAAATCAGATTTTTTTCTTAAACATTTCAGTTTGTTACTTAGCAGCAGAATACATTTTATTTATTTATTTTTTTCGTCTAAAGGGAAACCACTTCAGCTTACCTGGTCACCATACGTTAGTAAACACTTGGTAAAACAGGTTTAAATTCAACATCATTATCGGCAAAACAAAAAAGTCAAGTTAAAAAAAAGTTAACAATCGCCCTGTAGTACAGTATATAAACAAATTTTGAGGAAATCAAAAGGAAATCATAGGAAATCAAGAGAAAATCACAGGAAATCTAAGGAAATCACAGGAAATCAAAGGAAATCAAAGGAAATCACAGGAAATCAAAGGAAATCAGAGGAAATCAAAAGAAATCATTGTCAAAAGGAAATCAATTGTACACTTGATGGTCGGCGGTTTATCCCTCGGATCCTCACTTTGGTTATTTGCCTCTTCTTCGTTGCTGTTTGGCATTCGAAAATTCAAAGCTTCGATATTCCTAATACAGAAATGAGTTTTAAATTCAGAATAAAAAATTATTTTACTCAAAATGACTATATTTATAATCTAAAAAATACATCTTCTTCAGCTCGTTGAAAGTGAACAAGACGTTAAGCATCAAAGCAGACACCAGTGTCTGACCACTGCTTTCCATAGGGGGCCAGAGAGGTCACCAGTGTATGTTTCATATTTCCTAATCCAGGGCCACACAGACACATAATTAGGCATTATAGAGCGAATATGTGTCTGCCATGGCATGTGCACATTTGATCCCACAGTTGGTTTGTTGGTTGCATATGTCAGATTAGTTTTACAGAGTGTGTCCGCTATGTGTGTCTGCCGTGGCCTCCTTTTCTGTCTGAATTTTTTGATATGTTACGGGACCACGGCGGACATATAATTACATTACAAGGCCTCTTTATAGCTTAGAATTGTGTCTGCTCTAGAAGACTGCTCTGTCTCTGTCATGTAAAAAATGCATAAAATATAATGTAGGGCCACAGCAGACACAGGTGTCTGTTTTAGTTTTTTTGAAAAATATAGTACAAAATTTTCGAATTTCAACAAATAACCTATGTAACTATATATAAAATTTTATGTAGAATACGTACTTGCCAATGGCCTATGACTGTAACTGCATGATTTTGGCTTGGCGCTTAACGTGTTAACAATCTAAAAACTAACACTAAATTTAAAAAGTTTTGGGTTCTTACCATCTACGTACGCGCTTCTCGCCCGTGTTGGCGTACGAGTTATGGCAGCCTGCTACACAACACAACACCTTTGACATTTTCAAGTTAAATTACCCAATATTTAGTTTAATAAATGAAAGCTTTCTATGATATTAGGAGAACTCAATGAAAAAGTGTGGATTTTCTGAAGTCCACAATCTCGTGTTTTGTGAGTTTATATAGTCACCAAAATGAAAGCATGCATCACTGCTGTAAAACGTTTTCTTGAGATGGTCTTCCGGATCTAGAGTGTTTAGAAACCATAGACATAATAAGTTCTGGAGTTAGTCTTTTTGAACGGCCGCTTCCAGGTTTTCGTATCACAGATCCATTTTCTTGGAAATTTTTTAAAGAAATGGTTAACGTTTATCGAAACTGCATACTCTTTACGGCAAAAACTCTTCTTGAAACTCTCCCATATACAATCCATTTTAATTTTGACAACGAAGTAATAGATAAAAAAACAATAAACCGCCAAAATTGTTACGTAAGTGTAATGCTGCCAAGTCCAACGTCAATTTTCTATCAGTCTCACTGGATTTAAGATACCTAGTAACGATGGCACCATCCATGCTCTAAGCTATATACGGTTAGTCTCCGAAAATAATTACCCCGTTGTAAATAAAGGGCAAAAAATGAATCCAAGGCCTGGTCCAAATATATACGTATTTTATTGTGCATCCGTTAAATTGTTTTGCATAAAACGATGACATGATTTAAAACTACATACAGAAACCAGTTACGAATTCCTAAATATTGAACAATCTATGGAATATACGTGTACAAATTCAGTGTTTTCCGAAGAATTTAAAGAATTACTTGCATCGAGTTATGTCCTAAATAATATATGTTGATTTTAATATTCAAGACCTTAAAACGCATAAAATAGAGTACGATGCTTTAATTATCTGAAATGAAAAAAAAATTTCAGAAAGATAAAAACAATAAGATTAGTAATTAGTTGTGAAAGTTGAAAGTCCTGAACTAATTTTTAGCATATATTACTTTACCGAAACAAATAATGGGTATTGGAGAACTCCAAAGGGTCCGGCTGTCAGACATTTGGATTTTTGAGACCTTTGCAACATAAAAAGTAGGGTTTTTTGACGACTTACGTCGCTCTTGTACCATTCAGAAGCCCATAAAGCATCGGCGACAGACCCAGTCTGAAAATAAGGATTTGTTCTAAATGTATAATTTACAAAAACAATAACATATTTCTAATAACAAATTCAAATTTTTCGACATTATGGATAAGATTAGCCCAGTTTAGTCATTCTGTTGCGTTAAAGTATAATTTTAATACTTTTACATTCTACGATTTTTCAATTTTTCGATTTTAAAATGTTTCCATTCTTAGTTTTTCAGTTTCTTCGGTTTTCCAGTTTTCATTTTCCGATCTTATGATTCGCTTATGCGAAGGAAGTATCGTAATCGAATCCGTCGGCCAACTCTCGACTCTAATGTTTTTTCATGAGCTCCGTCGGTCCGTCCGTCCGTTCGTCCATCCGTCCGTCCGTGTATAATAACTTTTACCGAATAAATCCTGTCTAAAATGGGCAAAATATGATGGGTCTATACATGTGATGTATCATTCCGTACATGTTTTTTAGATCTGCTTATAAGGGTGACCCAAAGAAATTAATGAATTACTCAATTTATTTTATTTATTAAATCAGGAACTGAAAAACCGATTGCTTTAAAAACAAAAACAGTTTAAATCTAATCGTGTAACGATTGTTGTGTGGCATTGGAAGTTCTATCTGCAAGTTTCAGGAAATAAATATCTAAATGTTACAAAGTTTGCTTTTTTAAGTTCTACGCCAAGAACGCATTAAAAACCGCTCTAAATTTCAAAGTTCTGTCTTTTCACATTCAATGGAAGGGTTACAATGGAACAGATAAACTGAGATACTCGGTTTAACTGTCAACTAAAAAATTAACTATTAGTAACTCACAGCATCCATGATACGTTGTCCTCCTAAGCACACAAAGTATAAAGCTGAAATCCACAATACAAACTGACAACAGTGCATTACCACCTGTCGCCTCTGTAAGATTTTTTTGTTAGATAGTACAGCATGAATCTAATTACTTGCATTACTTCTGCAATTGCGCTTTCTATAAACGCACAAACTGAACCAGTCAACAAGAAATGTACCAACATAATACTGGAAAAGGTACAATCGATTTTGGCGACTAAACTAAAACAATGAATATTAAAATAACGATAACTTTATATGAGTACCTACTTCAGTATCTCGATGTGGTAAGATATACATTTTCTCAAGTTAGCAAAAACCACGTTGTAGTTTTGGGAATCGAAGCATTTTATTACCATAGACTTCAAATGTTCGATTCTTAGAGCAGTGTGAAGAGTTATTTCCAGTACATGGAAGGCTATCTGAGTGCACATTTTAATAAATATGAAACTACAGATGAAATCATAAATAATGAATAATTCATAGACTGGAAAAAAATGTATGTCAACAGGAATCCACTTAGGAGTCCCTAATCCGCATTGGTATCCTTTTAAATCTCCTTCAACCTGAATTCTCTTGCATACTGCGTTCTTAATTATTATTATATATTTGTAGACAATCATAGCACTCAGTTCGTAAGCGGTGAGTACTTTGGTAAAAATATTTAATATTTTGTCAAGTCTATCAAAACCAGGTGGTTTGCCAAACTTTGTGAAATCTGATAAACTGCTGAGGATAATTGCGATGTCATGTTGTTTACGTATAAATAAGAATAACATGTAAAATATGGTGTCTGTGGCTAGAATAGCAGTAATAGTTGCATTTATATCGTGATCTGAAAGATAACTTGCTTATGATCGTTCTGTGTATTTTTATTACTTACCTTTTATCATAAAAAATAAAACAATTCCAGATGGTATTATTGTAAAGGCAATTAAAATGCAGCATAACGCAAGTTTAAGTTTGAACTCAAATCCTGGACGTAGTTCCGTTCCCTCGGCGGGCCATATCAAACTCCATTCAAATATCTTGCGATTCACAAGACAAACTAATATTTTTTTTCCAGGAATCTGCGAATTATGTGACATTTTATTTCTACTTACAAATCCTGTAGTGTAAATTTTCGTAAAAAACTTGCTTCATTAGAAGTTTGAGCTCTGTTTTACCCTGGATAGCACTTTGGTTCTATAGCGTCTCTTTGATCATTAAACGTAACAGTGTTTCATATAACGACGTTTTTATAGCACAGGATGATGGCAACGCCACCACAACTTTTGAAATAACTGAAGCTCACATCAGTCATACCTCATACACGTTGTCGATTTTCTAAATTAACAAGTTTTACAGGATAAATGCACACGCCTCCTATACATTGTAAGATAAAATTGAAACTCATTTTGTATATTATCATCTAGAGATGATTATAACTTCCAACAGTCACGCATATATTAAACACACATGTTCCGTACATATAAAGTAATTTGAACAAAATTATAAAATTATTGTCTTCTACATAATTCCTAAAATTGTCTTTTCATCGAACCTCTGAAAAAATTCCTAATCGATTGGATGCCATTGGTATATGCTTATTAAATAAATTTGTACGTACAGCATCGGTCTAATTTTCATATAAAGCTATAATTTAAAAATAAACCTCCTACTACTTCTATTATGATGCTTTCACGGTTATACGAAATTCACGAAATGCTATAATAGTTATTTTTGTTACAAGTACCTAAAACATAGTTTTTTGGGACGAATTTTGCTGTTTCCGGACGAGCCGAAGGCGAGTCCGGAATAGTAAATGAGTCCCAAAAACGTTTTAGGTACGTGTTACAAACAATATTTTTTTGTTCAAGCTCCCAAAACTCCTTAAAAACCATTTATAAAATCTACTAATTTTGACAAACGAAGCAAATATTTATCGAAAAGTGGGCTAGTGGGCTGCCACTATATGTAGTAGCTACAGTGTTTTGTAAACACGAAAAAACCTGACATTTTTTTGCACAAAATGCAGAATCCCGCACATATTACGGAAAAAGCAAAAGAAATCGTACTGGATTTACTTCCAGCGAAGTCTCGGCAAATGTACGAAAAGGAATATCAAATATTCCTACGATGGAAAGAAGAAAAAAAAATTATAGTAGTAGATGAAGATGTAATGTTAAATTATCTTCATGAAAAGGTAAGTGCCGCCTTTATGTTCAATATTTATAAGCCTTACACATGATTATCGTGATAATTTCCGTATTTTGTTACAGTCACAAGAAGTAAAACCATCTACTCTCTGGTCAAAATATTCAATGATTAAAGCTGTTTTGTCTGTCAAAGAAAATATTGAAATAAACAAGTTTTCCAGAGTCATTGCGTTTTTAAAGAGAAATTCAGTAGGATACGAGCCCACGAAGTCAAAAGTTTTGACACGTCAAGAAATTGACACATTTTTGACAAATGCAGACGATATGAAATATTTATTAATAAAGCTAAGTTTAAAAAATATTCTATGATAGATTTATTTTTCATTTTGTAGGTTGCCCTTCTTTTTGGTGTGTGTGGTGCATGTAGGCGTGAGGAGCTACATTCACTAAAAATTCAAAATATTGTCCAAAAAGACGAAGAATGTCTAATTATAACAATTCCTGATACTAAGAGCAACATTAAGAGAGTCTTTCGAGTGATAGCTAAAGGCAAAGCTGTTAATGGCCTGGAATTATACCAGAAGTTTTTACGATTACCTCCCGAGACAGTTCAACACGATTATTTTTTCATTTGTTATCGTAATGGAAAATGCACTGTCCAACGTGTAGGAATTCATTCTTTTGCGAAAATGCCCTCGGTTGCTGCTGAATTTCTTAACCTGCCCAATCCCAAGGAATATACAGGGCATTGCTTCCGACGAAGTTCTGCATCTCTGGCGGCTGATATTGATGTTGATTTAATCTCCCGGAAACTGCTAGGAGGATGGAAGTAATTTTTTTGCAATATAATTATTGTTTTCTTCTAAATAGTAGCAAACTTTAGGTCGTTTTCTGTCGCAGAATCATATATAGAAGAATCTGTTGAAAGGAAGAAGATATGCAGACAGTTATTGGGAGAAAAGCAAAACGAACCATCGACTAACACACTATTAGTTACTACTGAAGCTACTTCCACGACATCAAGAGACATCAGCCTGATACCTTCAAGCTCCTCAAGTATTTCGTTTGGACACAACAGTTTTCAGGGAGCTCAAAACTGTTCATTCCATTTTCACTTTGAGAAATAAATATTGTATTGTTGTATCTACTCCTTTAGAATAAATGTGGTTATTTAATTATTGTTTTTATAGTTTTTACTATTCAGTCCCAAAAAGTTGCCATGGCAACTTTTTCGTACTAGTACGAAAATGACTCATTTTACGGACACTTTTGAATCCCTAAAATAACCATTTTTGGGAGCGTGTACAAAAAAAAAAACTGTGCTCGGTCTATGTGACCACTATAAATTTCCGGAGCTGCAATTGTGAAAAACACTTGCTATTGGTTTTTCTTATCAACGAAAATTTGAAGTAAATGATCAACAGCAGGTAAGTGAAGATAATTCCGTAATCAGTATTTATCATTATTACAGGCCCAGAAAATATATTTCGTAGCAAAACAAGACCCGAATGGCAGAAAACAAGACAGCATTTAAACTCAGTCCATCGGGCGGCTGGTTGCTTTCAAAAAAGGATAGGTCTTCTATTTCCGTCTGTCTGTCTACCTGACAATTTTTGTTGGATAGATAATCTCCGAAACTACCAACCAATAATGAATGAGTCAATTTATATTATAGAATCAATCAGGAACAACCAAATCGAATGTTTTGAAATCTTGGAGACATTTCAAAGTTATTGCAAGCATAACACATTTTTAATATATTTGTATAACCAACCCTTTTTATCATTAGATATATATCTATATTATGTAATTTTTCAAAGGTTTTTGAGATAATTCTTCACAATAAAATATACAGCCAGATTGGCACTAGTATTTCTACACAGCAACATGGTTTTGTTAAAGGTCGGTCAACTTTGACGAATTTAGTACTCTTCTCTCAGTGTGCTCTTGATATTTTGAATAAAAGTAGTCAGTTAGATGTAATTTACCTAGATTTTCAACGAGCTTTTGCCTCAATTGATCACTACATTTTGTTGCATAAACTTCAAGCTCTGGGATTTGTTGGTTAAAGTCTTCTCAAGAGCTACTTACTTGGTCGAACCCAGTTTGTTGCCTATCAAGGTTTTGAGTCTGTCATGTATCGAGCCACTTCTGGCGTACCACAGGGATCCATTCTTGGTCCATTACTGTTTGTTTTATTTATTAACAATTTGCCTAACTTTGTTGAAAGCAAAATACTACTTTATGCTGACGATGTTAAAATATTTAGAGAAATAGTAAACGCTCAAGACACCAAAGCTCTACAATAAGATTTAATAAATTTCTCTGAATGGTCACAGTATAGTAGGCTCAAGTTATCTTACGATAAATGTAGCATTGTTCCTTATTCTAACAGAAAGCACACCATCACTAATAGTTATAACGTCGATAAGAAGGATATTGTTCGTAAGATTTAGGAGTTGTTTTTGATTGCAAATTTAAATTTCAAGACCATTACAAAGATATAACAGTCAAAGCATGTATGACTACCGCGTTCATTATACGTAATGCTAAACTGTTTAATGTAGAATGTACCACAAAGTTATTTATCTCCTATGCACGTTCTGTTTTAGAATATTACGCGATTGTATGGTCCCCGATTGATCAATGTCATAAATTGTTGACTGAGAAACAGCAAAGGCGATTTCTTAAGAATCTGATGTACAAGTGCGACAAGGTTTACCCTCCAAGAAAATATCCTCAGGAGCTAACGCTACAGAGATTTGGCTTGAAAGCTCTAGAAGCGAGAAGAGAAGTTGCTGCAGTGAAATTTTTGTATAACGTTGTGCATAATTTAGTTGATGTTATTGATATTGTCAGTATGTTAAATTTTCGTATGGCGCAAAAATTTCTTAGAAATAGTCATACATTTTACGAGGTAAGCGCCAAATATTCTCGGCCTAACAAAGAAAGAGACCTGATGGAAAAAAATTAAATATTTATATTTCAACATAATCTCTGTTAACTTCAATACATTCAAAACTACGTTCAACTAACAGCTCTATGCGTTTAAAAAAATTATTTGAATCTTTATCACTAAAATGATGTAGTACTGCCGTTTGCACCTCTTTATCCGTCCAAAACGTTTTCCCTGCAAGTCGTTTTTTATCTTAGAGAACAGTTAATAATCGTTCGAAGCTAAGTCAGTACTGTAGGGTGGATGATCAAGTTACTCGAAGTCACAGGCCCCTATAGCAGCTTGAGAAAGACATGCGGTATGAACGAGCGCATTTTCATGAAGCAATCGAACGCCTCTTGTTAATTTTCTCGGCCTTTTTTCCCAAATACGGTCTCCTAATTTATGCAGTAAGTAAGCATAATATGTAGCGTTGACAGTGGTATTTCATCCTTTAAAATTAATCAACAACATGCCTTTACAGTCCCAAAAAATTGTGGCCATGATTTTTTTGGAAGATTGGTTCGTCTTCAAGGGTTTCTTACCCCATGTGAAATAACTGTGATCATTTTTTTTAGTAAAATGTGAAGGACAAGCTTCAGCAAACACAAAAACCATCCTGTCCTTAATACCCTTTCTAGAGCAATTCCATCTTTTGATAAGAATTTTATTGCCGTTCGATTTTCAATTTTAAACGGGCATGATGAGTCCATAATTTTTCAAATGTTACTCCTCAAATGTATCAAAACTAATGGGCAGTGGGGCTTGAAATTTTACACACATACTGCGGGGCCCTTCTAGTCTTTTATGAGTTGTACAAATTTCCCGACGAGCAATCGCAAATATATCAGGCCGAGAATATTTGGCGTTTACCTCGTATCTACCTAAATGTAGAAACAAACATGCCAAAAGGTCTCCGTTATATTTTATATGTTCTGTTTACAACAAATATGGCAACAGTGACTTATTTTTTGATAAATTAGGTAATATCCTTAAAGAAATTTCCGGCATTTGA